TCCTCGATAATCAACACACATCCGCAATGATCCATCTTTTTTCTTCACAAATAGAATTGGAGCTCCTGTCGCAGATTTAGAATGGCGTATGAAATTCTTAGCTAGATTTACTTCAATATACACCTTGAGTTCAGCCAATTCATTTTGTGATTAATTGTAGATTGGTCTGAATGGCGGTTGTGTTCCTTCTTGAAGGTCAATTGAACAATCATAGGGACGATGTTCCGGGAGTGTATCTGCATTCTTTTTTTTCGAATACATCTTGAAATTCTTGATATTGGCTTGGAATGCCACTTGAAGTCTTTTCACCAGTAGAAACGGGTGTAGCATAAATAATGTATGGTGATTCTTTCATAGCAGCATGCAAGAAAGCTTTTGCACCTATAAATACGGGTTTAATTGAACTGAACTTATGACTCTCTACTTGCTTAACTACACTGTTAGTTATACTTTTAGAGAAAGTAAGAGTTCAAGAAATCCAGTCTATTTGAGGGTTGTATTTTTCTTACCACGATAAACCTAAAATGACTGGATTAGAGGGAGATCTAATGATATTAAATACTACAAAACTATTATCACCATTGATTATTACTTCTATAGGAAGGGTTTCGTGAGTAATATCTCCAGAAGACAATCGATGACCATCTATGACTTCTACATGAATAGGTTTAGTTTTCTTTACTAAAGATATGCTATGTCTTTTAGTAAATTCTTCATCTAAAAAACACGCTGAGGCTCCTGAATCTAACAAGGCAGAGAATTTTTAATGTTTAGGTCCTAAAATAACATTTAATATAAAAGAAAGAGAGGGCTCTGAGGAGAGAATAGGACCTTTACTAGAAGTTGTGCAAGGTTCCAGCCGCACGGTCCCTATTATAGCTGGACAAACTCATTTTCCGACATATTATCTTCTTTTTCAGCCATACTCCTCACTTTGTGATTGCGTTGTTTCTTTGGATAATGTTGAGCAGTGTGCTTTGGTTCTCCACAATATAAACATAATCCTTCTTGACGACGACGAGTCTTTTCTTGCTCAGTAAGAGGTTTGAAACGTACTGCATTAATTTGCATATCCTCTACTTCCGAATGTATGTGTTGAAGACGTGTTGGTGTTGCCATTGAATTATAGTAATGTTGAGGTCCACTTGTACGGTTCTCAAATCGGAATTCAAAAAGGTAATTGTCGCACTTCACAGCAAAGTCAATTGCTTGATTCATTGTTTGAGGATCATGTAAGTTGAGCATTAATTTTTTTACCTCATATTGTAATTCGTAGAGAAATTGGCTAATAAGTGCAGCATCATCCTACTTGATATCAGTTGCAAGTTGTCGAAATTGTGAAGCATATAACGTTACTGATCGATTACCTTGTCGTAAAATACGGATCTTATTGGTTGCAACACGAATTGCATCATGTTCTCCATACATGAATCGAAACTCCGCCAAAAAAGCCTCTAGATTATCCAATATTGGATCTCGTCTTTCAAGAAAAGATGAAAACCACGATAGTGCTGAATCTGAAAGAAGCATACCAATGAATCTAACTTGTGATCCTGGAGTTGGATAGCTTTGGGGTTGAAGTTCAATCACAAGTTGCACTTGATTGATAAATCCTCGAAACTTGAATCTGGTGCCATCAAACTTCTCGGGTAGGGCAATTCTTGGTTCTCTAACATTTGAAGGGCGTTCCACCATAGGAGAAAGGACATGGTTTGGTGCAGATGTTGAAGCAGATCCAACCATTTCTATATCTTTACTTCCTGCCAATCTTGTTGCTCCTTGTGGTGGTAAATTGAGTTGATGCATTGCAAGCATTAACTCCCTCAATTGCTCTTGCATTTGTGCCATTGCACTCTTCATTTCAAGAAGTTCTGCCATGATAACACTTAGAAGAGAGAAGATGTCTAATATCGCTCAAGACAGCTAGAAGAGAGGACTTGCGGACAAAGAAAATACTAAGGACAATATCAGTTTAGAAGAGGGTAATCCGCAACTTCTAATACGCTTATATCTTATCAAGAAGAAGGGGTAATCTACTCTTAATCAAGATTAGACAAAGCTCTGATATTGTACGTGTATTCTTGTCAATCTGTCAACGACAAGAACTCGATGAAAAAGCAATTCAGACAAGTGAGCCTTCATGCAAAGAAAGGTAAAAAAATATAAATAAACAAGTATGTATATTGAAAGACAAACTAGAATGGCTATTACCAAAAGATAAGAAACCTGAGACCCTTGAAACTAGACTGGAAGCAAGAAAAGAGTTGACAAGAGTGAAGAGGGCTTCATTCTTGTCTCTATATATACTATCTAATTAGGGACTATGTGGCGACGTTCTATGGGACCTCCAATATGTGTTGACTTTGTAGGGCACATGCCTTGACTTACAAGGCAAGTTTTTCTATGTGTGGACCACATAGTTAGCTTGATCTTCAAGCTAACAACATGTGTGGCACATGGCCAACTTGTTGACCACGTTTCTAATCCAAAAAGTCAATTAAAGATACCTATGAAGTCAAAGCAGTGTCTAAGAAGTTTCTAGGAAGCTTCCATATTAAATATTATAGAATTAACTTACTTTTACATACTTTTACTTACTTCTACCTATTTCTATATGTAATTATTAGCTTACATGATTATGGCCGTGACACTTGAATACTTATACACAATCTAATTTTTGGAGCAATTGAACAATTCAATAAAGAAAAATTGGTGTTGAAGATCAGCATTTAAGTTAGAGAAGGAAGGTGGCCAATAATTGAGAAGTTTTTGAGCTTTTCTTGTAATTAGTAAGTTCAATTCTTTTCAAATTTTATGTGCTTGATAATTGCTTATTGATTGAAGTCCAGATCAAATTTTAATTAAGATCTATAATTTAATTAATATTTTTTGAGGTTTCAAATAGCTATCATAATTGATTAAATTTTATTTGGAATTTTCTTGAGGTTCTTTATGTTTTAGGATTTTATTAGAGTTTGATTTAGAATTAGGATTTAAGAATTGCTTAAGATTTAATTAGGATTTATATAAATTTTGATGAAAATTAATTTAAGATTTGATAGGATTTTATTAGGATTTAGGATTTTATTAGAGTTTGGTCTAAGGTTAAGATTTGATATTTGATTAGGATTTGTCTAAAATTTGATTAGAATTTATTTAAAATTTGATTCAGATTTGTTTAGAATTTAGGATATTATTAAGGTATGGTTGGGATTGGTTTAAGATTTCATTAGAATTTGTTGAAGGTTACATTAGAATTTGATTAAGATTCAATTTAGATTTCTATTTTTGATATTTCTTTAAGATTTCTTTATTATATATATTTCATTAAGATTAATTTATAATTTCTTTATGTTTCTTTTATAAATTCTTGAGACTTCTTTTGAATTTAATTAAAGATTGATTAACATTTTTATAATTTAATTGAATTATTTTAAAGATTTTATTAGAGTTATTAGGATTATCTTATTGCAAGTTCCATTTTTCTTTCTACAATGAGATACCTTAATATTCTCAAGCAAACTTCACATAATATGATGACATTCCTTAAAATATTGCTAAAATTTTGTCTTGGCTCTAATTTTAGTGATCCTAAGCTTATTGGGAAGCTAACATCAACCAATACCAACCAAAGATATTTGACCTTAAACTTTACTAATCCAAGTGATTGATCAAAGAAAATCCAAGGCTTGCTACAAATAAATCAAATCACAACTAATGGCATACTCTAATTGTGTAAGACACTTACACATAAATTCTATTGAGACTTTGAAAAATAACCAACAGTGTTGACATTGACAGCTTAGAAGATAGAGTTTACTTAATAATTTATAATATTTAAATCACAATAATCAACATGTATAATGTGTGGATTCAATGTTGATTCAATGAGTGCATCCACAATACTACTTAAATCGAGTTTGTTGGCACTTTCAAACAATACAAGAACCACAAGTATGGCTCTTCATAAGGTCTCCAAAAATTCCTAAGCTACTACTTTGTCCTTCATTAGCATGTACTATTTTTCTGATTTAAACCAACATGATTTCTTCCTTGTTCTAATATACTTGTGGCTACAATAATTGGTATTTCATCCATGAAAAATTTCTTCAATATCTACCAATAGACCTTAATAGACTTCTCCATATATGATGATGCGACTTATTTACTAATAATGATCCATATGGATTTAAATAGAAGATTAGACCGCATTCTTGAGCTTATAAAGACCACTACTATAGGTTCATTATATATTCAAACATTCAAAATCTCAAACGGATTTTCATAATACTATTTGTTTTACAACTCAGCTAAATAGTTTTAGAGTCTCTACCAATATTATTAAAAAGCACTTTTAACAACAACAAGGGCAATTTAGTAATGGTGTGTATGATTCTTCTTGAATATATTAGAGTTTGTGGCATCAACAAAACTTGGACTAACTGCAATATTTGATCTCAAAAACCGCTTTCCAACAAACAATCTACCTCATCAAGTGCTAAGATGTACACATTTTATAAAGTAAGGAAGATAAATGGGTAGTCTTTAGGTGCCAATAATGAATTCTACACCTTGTTTAATGTAGTGTACTTATTGGGACATTGCATCACCACTAACTACTAAAATTGTCTCATTGTAGTAATCTTATAGATTGCACCTTTGCCTACTTCTCTGCATGACTATTAAGCTCTTGTAAAAGCACCAACACTATAATTGGAGGTTTTTCTTGCTTTGATAGTCCATAAATGTATGTTAAGCAACACTAAAAGATAATAGGAAGCAATGAGAAGATAATCTATCCAAATCATATCAATGTTGACAAGAAAAATATGATTTGTCTATTTATAGATTGATTTATTTGTTAGGATTGCAACTATTTTTTTAAAAAAATTACTATTTTAAAATTTTATCAAGGCCTTAAAAAGAAGTTCTTATGAAGATTATTTCGAAATTTTTAAGTTTTAGATGCAGACGCCACAGCACGTGCCGATGTGGCACGGATGTGCACACGTGGAGGGGTGGGGAGGCAAACGGGACGAGGTGGCATCGGGCCAGGAAGGGGTTGGGCCTCGGGCATGTTACTCAACCCTGCCTCTCTCTCTCCCCGTTGCAAAGCATTTCGGAGCTCCTCCTCCTCCGCCCCTGCTTGCTTGCTTGCTTGCTGCAGAGCGTGCCTGTCTCTGCGAGCTGCCATGGGACCTCGCCTGCTTCGTCCCGCGCGTCTCCTCTCCCTCGCTAGTATAATCTCACTGTCTTTCTCTTACGCCCAGTGCGGTTGAGGTTGCATTATTGATGGTCTCGGGAGGCGGATGTTGAGCTTCTGCGTTTGTGAGGAGGAATGGGCTTTGTTAGTTCGTGTGATGAGGCACGAGGGGCTGTTTCCTAGTTTAGCGCGCTGGATTTTCGTTATCTTCATTATATTTATTGGTAATTTTTTCTTTGGAATGTTTCCTTTGTGTGCTGGTATTGCGCATCTGCAGAGTATGCAAAGGGGAGGGTTCTACAAGAATTCGATGGGTCGTGCAGAAGCAGCTCAATTCACTATTCAGATTTTGTTTCTATTCTCCCAGCGCTGAATCAGAGGTTTGTTCTCGTATTCTTCGAGTTCTTCAGTTGTGGATTGCGGGTCTTGACCCATTCGAGTGAGGTGATTGTACAATCAAATTCACTGAATGTCAGTCATTTTATTCTATTTTCTTGGGGTTTTTTTAAGGTTTTTCTCCGTCGCGCGAGCACCGGGACGCGACGATCATTTAGGCGCAGTGCAGCTTGATGTTTTATTTTTTCTGCAAAAGTGTTCAAATTTTTTCAGCGAGTATGCTGAAATTAGGACTTATGTTTGATCCCTTGGGTATTACCTCTCGTAGCGTTGAATAGCTCGCCAATTATGTTCATCAGTCCCCTTTGTTTTTTTCTTGAAGCAATAGATTTAAATTGCAACTCGTTTGAACATTGGTAGTAAGACAACATCTCTCTCAGCCAAGCCAGACGCAATGCTGCTAAGTTTTCACATGTTTGGGAGCTTTTAGAAGGAATAAATTTGAGATTTTAGGGATATGATCGTATCGAGAGTTCGATGTTTTGAATTTTACTTTGTATCGCCCCAGTAATGAGACCATGACTGTATTGTATAGCTTTCTCTTTGAAATCTTCTTAAGTCTGGTGCTTTGCGTTTGTGCTTTAGTGTATCTACTGGTTCTGAGTGTTGGTTGAAATGGTTGCCTTCAGTTTGAGGCACATGCATACGGAAAACAGGGGTATGCTCGGCACCACTGTTTTATGTGTTCGAAAGGATAACAAGGTCATTATTATTGGAGATGGGCAAGTTACATTGGGCAATGAAATTATCAAACCGAATGTCCGAAAGGTTCGCAGACTTGGTGCTAACGTCATCGGAGGTTTTGCAGGTCAGTCAATTTTGAAAAATGACATGTGTTGTCTTATTGTTCATGGTTAAGGTTGTTTTAAATAAGTAGAGCAGTTGTTGATTAGGACGTTTCGGATGAGTAGGATGCGCAGACATTATTCTAGTAACCGTGAAAGCTAACGTTGAACGACAGAGCCATAATCAATAATGCACCACCTTATCCGCCACGAGTGCATGAAGCAGTACTTGGATATCTCATTTTCGTAACACGTTGTGGCCAGGGTTTATGAGGGTGCTCGTAGCTAATGGGAAAGGGGTAGTTTGTAGGTGGCACTGCTGATTCGTTTACTTTGTTTGAGAGGCTGGAGACCAAACTTGAAGAACACTCTGGTAGGTAACTTGCAGCTTTTTGTGTCCTGCCCACTCAAGTAGCCTATTATTCATGTTCAAGTTTTGACTAGTTTTCAGGATCTTAGTGTTCTAAACATGTACTATAATTTTTCCGTCTATTTCCTTACTCATTCGTGTAATCCCACCTCAGTATAAGAACACATTTATCTTAAGCGTCATAAGCTCACCATGTCAGGAATGCATTCTAGTAGGTAAGCTTATAGATGTTTAATAAAGGTTAGGTTCATTAATTTGATGGTGAATTACATTATGAGGTTTTGCAATAAGTCATAGTAGTTTAAATCAATTCAGATGAATGCAATCTGCATCTCTTTTAATAGTTTTGAAACTTGCGAGTGCATTTTCTAGGCAAGGTTTGCATGCTCCCACATCCTTCGTATGACTGACGATCACCGTTGTGTTGGTTGCAGGCCAGGTATAGAAAATGCTGAGGACATGATCGTTCGATAGTTTCCGATACTGTCTCCGAATCCATTATTGCTGTGTATTTAGCTCTTTATGTACAAGTGGAGTGTTTAGGGTATGTTTAACTGCTCATTGTTTTTTTGACCCGAGGGAACGTATGGCAGCTGACGAGAGCTGCAGTGGAGCTTGCCAAAGCCTGGCGCACTGATAAGTTTCTCAGGCGTCTTGATGTATATCTCTTTTTGCCAACTAAACCGGCCTCTTCTTCAATTGTAATGGTGTATATTATGTTTCCCATGCTGCTGTGAACTTGTCCGAGTATTTTGCTGCTACTCATAACTTCAATTGATTTGAGTGCAGGCTGTTATGGTCGTTGCGGATGCTGAAATATCTTTGACAATAACAGGCAATGGGGATGTTCTAGAGCCTTACGATGGTGTTATTGGTGAGAATCTATCTATCTATATTGTTTTATCCGTGCATGTATCTACATGCTGTGTTCACTATTCAACTGCGACTTGATGCATGCTGCGGCAATTCACTATTGACATGCTTCCTAACATCGTAATCCCGTGGTCAGTTAGAAGTAGAAATGCGTAGGATCGCAATGCGTGTTTTATCTTTTCACTTCTACTCCGCGCAGGTATTGGGTCCGGAGGTTCATATGCATCGGCAGCTGCGAGGGCTCTTATCGACTTACCTGACTGGGGAGCTGAGGCTATTGGTAAGTGTGGATGGATACATGGCTTCTTGTGCGTTTCCATTGTTGTTTCTGTTTGGTGTACTTAGACATCCAAAGTCCGAACTGGGATGTTGACGATTGTGTACTTGGATGTGTGCTGGGGGTTTATGATTTTTCAGCCAAGAAAGCTATGAAGATTGCTGCAGATTGTTGCATATACACAAATCACAACTTCACAATTGAGCAAATCGAGGTTGCACACACTAGAAGTTCTGAGGTTATAGATCAAGCAGCTAGTCTATCTTCCACAGACCCTTGCACTACAAGCACATAAGAGGGAACCTTTTCCTGGAGAGAAGGGATTCAGCGTTATGCTTCTGGGCTCAATTTCTGTTCAGAAAGAATGTGGTTTACATATGAGTTATCAGTGCTGGATCTTGTGAGTTGGTACCTTTCAGAGTCACTGCTTTAGTTCGTCACCAATGATATTAACTTGATAAGACGTCATTAACCTGAGAAACCTCTTCAACCGATTGAAGTCTGCTCAGATGCATTGGAGGTAGTTGCATTTTCTGTTTGACCACTTTTATTATCCCACAAAGAAGAGATTTTTTTTTTTTTCTTTTCTTATTTTTTCTCAGTCCTTGGTGTTCAGGTCAGTATCATTGGACCTTGTCGTCAATTAGAGTTTTGGTTAGCTTCTACAGACCTTGTCAGCAGCTCTTGTCCGTAGGCTTTCCAGATGTGAATATTTATTTGCCTTCCTAGTGAAAGTGGAGGCTGGATGCTCTTCAGTCGAGGAGAGTAAATCTTTATCTCGAAGTCGAAAGTTATTTACAACCAGGTGTTCATGGGCTGGAGGAGAAATGAACAACATCCAGCATTTAGTTCAGTTTTGAAATCCACGCAGCGCACGTTATTGAAGTCTTATTGAGAAACAACGCTTTGAAACAATGATCTTTGCCGGCATTCGACAACTCTGGGCGTAGGATTTTTCCTTTTCGGATAAGTCGAATAAGTTAAACTCATCCGTGTGACGCGTAAACCATCCTCGCAATCTATACTCACTGGAAATCAACATAATTCAATTTTGTGCAGGGAGCGCGTCGGTAGGAACTCTAAAATCACTCAGCAAACTTTTGAAGCTGACATGTGGCGGTTACACATCCGAGTGCGTTTACCAGGGAGAAAAGAAATGTTGCGGACCAAAAGATTCGCAAGCCAACTGTTGTCTTCTACAATCGTCATTGAAATATGCATCACTTCAACGTACTGTCGTTTCCAGAACAATCAGTTGAGTGACACGTCCAGGTTGTACAGTTCTCAGGCTCCGTATGCGGTCGTAAGCAGGCAGCTTCTTTCAAGCCTATTCCGTAGCGCCAGCTATTCAAAACCAAGCTACGGAATGGACGAGGAGGCTTTATACACTACCGACTGGATCTTTGTTGCTCCAAATCAAACCCGGAGGCTCGGACAACCGAAGCCAAGACTGAGAGCACCGCAAGTTACGATCTTCACACCAATACTGTAGTCAACGCAGCCCAGCTCTAACGAACTTGTGCTCAATCGGAACGGGAAAGCAAAGCAACTGTTGTCTGCTGGAACCACGAAGAAACGTTGAGCTCCTGCAGCTCCACATTTTCGGAACCTTGCAATTTGTGGCACCAATCATCGTGGGAAAGTCAAAGAACGTGTGATTAACTATCCCAGCGCTTTTCTAAATTTAGAAAATCTCGAAAAATCCCTAAATTACCCAGTCTTATGGGATACTCTCTGTTCCAGAGCATACTAGTCCCGGAAGTCGCTAAATGCTTGAGAAGCTTAAACCCATTTTCGTGGAATGGTGACCTGCGTCGTTTTGGTGCCCCTCGGGTTGAATGTGTCGCCGAATGCTCCAAGGTCACAGTTGTTGGTGATTTTGCTGTCGAGGCACTGTGGTATATGTTTCTTCGGCTGTGGTATGATCGGTGTAGGAGGTTTTGGAATCTGGTAGTTGGTTGAAGCAGGGCGGCGTTGGTGGGCGAGAGGGGGCGACTGTTGGCAGAGCGGAAGTGATCTGGAGGATTGCGACGCCGGCAGCGATGACTTTGGGAAGGATGGATTCGTCGCTCGACACTCACAACATCGAACTCCAAAAGGTGGGCGCTAGTGAATGTGGAGGGGTGATACGAGACTGGATTTAGATTGCAGTGTTGGATCCTTCAACTTGTGAGAAAAATTGAATGGAACCAGTTTTATATATATATATATATATATATATATATATATATATATAATACTGTGTCTAATGTCTTCTGATTAAGCGGACATTGGTCTTCCCTTAGAACTAAATGAGAAAAGCGCGGTACTTTGCAAGGTACAGCTCTCGGCGTCTGTAAGTCTGCGATCAAGGTGTTCTTGTTATCTACTTAAAAGATCTGACATGCACTCTCTTGTAATTGTGAGAATTTTATTTTGTATATGTCTTTTTCTAGCATCTCCCCACAAGGGCCATACTACCGATTGCTTGCAATTTCTTGAAGTTGCACTCTGCTCCGCCGTGGTATGCAAAAATCGCCAGTCCTGAGTGTCGCGCTAAATCCTTTAAGAAGCTAAATCTTTTTTCTTTTTTCTTTTTTCATTCACCGTTTTAGTAGTTTTAGAGCTTACCGACAATTTCCTCAAGTTATTGTATGTTATTTAATTAATTAAATATTTTTATGGGTTTATGAGAAGAATGGCGGTTCACAGAATTATTTTGTCGAAAACATACTAAGTGTGTTTTGTCGGTGGTTCTAATTTCAGCAATCTTCCGTTCTGCTGGCACCACCTCAAAGGGTAAGCGTAACTGCCCCCTTCGTTACACATGATGCACTTGGCTTGCTGAAGCCATTGAAATTACATTCATGGTATAATATTTACTCTCGTAATTGGGATTCATGTGTGTGGGTGTTGTGACCGGGATTATGGGACCTGTAGAGTGAAAACAGCCAGAACACAACCGACCTGGAAGCATGGCTACCCATCTCAACCGCAGACCGCAATGCCAACTGGAAGCATGCGGCTTTCCACAACGTCACGGCGATGATGGGAGCAGGAGTTCTCGCTTTGCCCAACGCCATGGTCTACCTTACATGGTATCAACCACTACACCACAGCCAGTTCACGTTTCCTTCCTATTTTCCTTCCGCCATTGTTCCCTTCTCCACAAACTTTGAGGATGACGTGGGTATCATGTTTGTAGGGGTCCAGGTCTCCTAATGCTCATCCTTTCATGGGTCATCACCCTCTTCACACTCTGGCAAATGGTGGAGATGCACGAAGCTGTGCCCGGAAAGCGATTCGACAGATACCATGAGCTTGGTCAAGAAGCGTTTGGCCCCAAACTGGGGCTATGGATCGTGGTCCCGATGCAGTTAGTAGTCGAGGTTGGCGTGGACATTGTTTACATGGTAACAGCAGGGAAATCCATGCAGCACGCGTACAACATCACCTGCGGCGACCACTGCCCATTGCAGGACGCCATCGTCTTCTGGATCTTCCTCTTCGCCATCGTCCAGCTTGTGCTCGCTCAGCTACCCAACTTCAACTCCATAACTGCCATTTCGTTAGCTGCCGCCATCATGTCCATTAGCTACTCTACCATAGCGTGGATCATTCCTGCTCATTATGGGCACACCCTTCCGGGCGGCGTCAAGCTACTGGCACCGGTAAGCTATGGCTTGCCGCAGTTCAAGCCTGTTCAACTGCAGTTGCCAGGCGGTTCTACCCTACAGCAAGTTCCAGATGATTTATCCTACAATGATCGGTTGTTTGGAGCTTTCACTGCCCTTGGCACAATTGCGTTTGCCTATGCAGGGCATAACGTGGTGTTAGAGATTCAGTCCACTTTGCCCTCCACTCCAGAGGAGCCATCCAAGCTTGCTATGTGGCGAGGAGTGAAATTTGCTTACGGAGTTGTGGCAGCCGGATATTTTCCAGTTGCATTAGTTGGGTATTGGGCTTACGGCAACCAAGTGACGGACGACATTATCACATTTGTGTCACGGCCAACTTGGTTGGTGCTGATTGCCAATCTGATGGTGGTTGTTCATGTCATTGGGAGCTACCAGGTAATCCAGCAAGCCGTTCATTCAAATCCTAATTCCATTGGCTCTGGCAGTTTGGCATACAATTCTAGATTCCCACCCATGGTTTGTCTAAGTTGAATCTGTCTCCGCCAGATTTATGCCATGCCGGTTTTCGACATGATGGAATCAACTCTGGTGGGCCGCTTGAGGTTCAAACCATCAACACCTCTTCGGCTCATCACCCGCTCTCTCTACGTCGTCTTCACCATGTTCATTGCCATCACGTTCCCATTCTTCTCAGCTTTGCTGGGCTTCTTCGGTGGCTTTGCTTTTTCGCCGACTACTTATTTTGTAAGTTCCGACGTGCCCATGGGTTTTACATTCTTTTCATACTTCCCCCGCTTTTTTCTCACTCCATTTCCGACACTGACATCGTCTGCTCTGAACTAGCAGTTGCCGTCCATCATATGGTTGAGGATATACCATCCAAATCGCTGGAGCTGGTCATGGGTCATCAACTGGGTAATCTTCTTCACAGCTTCTTCCCTTCTCAAATTCTCTCACCACATTGCGTCCGTCGCTCACGAGCTTGCTCGAATCATACTCTGATCGGAAAGCTTCCCAAAGCACTCCAACCTGAGGTACTTGGGTGGGTGGATGTGTGTGTGCATGTGCAGGCGGTGATTGTATTTGGCGTGGTGCTGATGTTTGTGTCGACCATCGGTGGTTTCCGATCCCTGATGGTCGAAGCAGCCAATTTCCACTTCTATAAGAACTAATCACTCGGATGTCCATAGAGTATTACTATTCTTTTTGCCGTTTTTTCTTGTTATGAATTCCAAACATCTGACAACTCGGAGTTAGGATTATGTGCACATTTATATACAGTTGCGTAAAAATGGGTCCAGCTTCGAAGCTTGCTGTCTGTCAAGTTGTCAAGTTCTGCAGGACTGATACTCACACAAACTGTGCCGGCGGATGTATTTGTAGCAAAGCCCTTTATCTCAAACTATGCACTTCTTTCTCATTTGTTGAGGAGGAAGAAGAAGACGACCAAAACAATTCTTCACAAAGTTGAATTAAATTACCAGCTGTATTGAGGGAGGTGGAAGAATGTGACTGATTGATTGGTTGATTAGTGGGTGCCACAAGGAGAATAGGTTGGAGGATAATTTTCTGGATGTCACATGTGGATTGGTTCCTTGTTCATACTGTTTTATTTTTTATTTTTATAACATTTTGGGGACTTTAAAATTTAAATTTTAAATTTTTTCTAACATTGTGAAGAGTCTCCATGTAAGGCTTTGCACAAGTAGACACTTAAAACTAAAAGTAAAACTACTAATTTGAATACTAAAAACAAGAAGAAAAAAGAATTAAATTAAAAAGAAGTGCAATATTGCAAAGAACATATGAGAAGGTTATTTAAAATTGAAAATAAAAGTTGATGTTTTCGAATTTTAATATATAATGTTTCTAAATGTGCCATCATGTTTTAAAAACACGATTTTTTAAATTATTTATAGTGCTATTGATGTATTAACAATTTAAAATAATGTCAAGAATATATTCTACCTTGATTTTAAAAGTAAAACAAAGGAAAGAATGAATTTATTAAAGTCTAAAAAATTTCTTAAAATATTTTATTGTAAAGATTTGGTAAAAAGACATATTTTTGTTAAAGATATTAATTATATATAACAAGATAATATGTCATTTTTAAGAATGCAAAACCTTTACAAAAGTATAATCTTTGTGTAAGTTATTTTTATTATAATAATTGAATAGTCAACTTATATATACAATAAATCAATAACAATCATTTATTTAGAATACAAATATTTTGGCATCCTTCTTTGGCTATTTCGGTACCTCCCATGAGTTGCTCATTGATTTATTTCAGAGTATAAAATATTTTGTCACCACAAGTCTTTAGGTCCTTTATTCTTGTTGTTCTATTCTTGTTGTCTAGCCACCTACTTTCAAGCAACTACTAAGCAATGTAAAGTGATAACAAAGTAGAAAAGAAGGAGTATGAAAATATCTATGTCCTACAATTGTTAATATTTTTCAGCAAAATATAATAAAATATATTAAATTTTTAATACTTTATACAATAAAAGTATTAAAAATCTATTTTAGACTTTTATTGAATAATGTTTTAAAAATCTATTAAAAAGTTTTTTAGATTTTTAATACTTTTATTGATTAAATTTAAAAGAAAAAAAATTGTAAAAACCTTCAAATATAAAAGGTTAGTCTTGTTTTTTAATTCTTTATATTGTTGTATAATGTTTGAGAACTTGAAAAATTATACATTTATAATTACAATCTTAACTAAATATAAGTTTAATTAGGTCTAATTCAAAACCAAAGTAAAACAAATGCATGAACTAAAAATAATCATAAATTAGAAAAAAGTTTTTACAATGAAGTATACTTGCATAGTTATTGAAGTTGATTATATAAAATTATATTAAAGAAAAAAATGAATATAAATTAAGGTCTATAATTTAATTATAACTCTAACACACTTTTTCTTGTTACTATATAATCTATTGCATTCATTAGAAATAATTGAGACTTAATAATCTATGAAAAAATTCCGTAATTTTAGAATTTTTTTTTAAAAGATTATTATATTGGTTCAAAAGGTATTTAAAAATTATCCACAAATATTTTATTGGATTAAAGTAAAGAGATTTTGTCAATAATTTGGTTAAAAAAAATCTTTGTGAAATTAACTACAAAATCATTAATATAGATGTATGCTTTGGATTATTATCATGTTAGATAATCACATTTTTAAAACTTGAATTGTATGCATGCAATGTATGAATCAACTCAAGTTCTAAAATCTCTTTGTAAGATGTTGATCTATTGTTTTCTCAACATAACACATCTTATTAAGGTCTTGTAATGCTTTGGTTGCCAAAGCTTCTTTATGATCATTACTTTGTTATTGTTGCATAGACAATGTAAAAGTTTGAAACATGCTTGCAATGGTTGGATCCATGTACATATCTTATCTTTTAGTAAAAACTCTATTAGAAGCTCTACTTAAAAATCCTTCCATAGCTCCTTCAAAATTCTTATTCTTATTCTCCATTAAATCAAAATCAAAATCAAAATAAACAAATTCCAAAACCTTTCATCTCAACCTTTTACATTAGGTTTACCAATTATGTCATACTATATGTGTTCTTACTTGAGAATGCATCGGGGCACCTAACAATGGAAGGTAAGTAGAAAAGAAACAAAAATCTTAGAAAGTTTAATAGAATCTAAAATAAACTTTAAATATTCCTTAATAATCCTAATCAAATTTTTATTAATGTAAAATAAATTTAAAAGAAGTTACAAAAGAAAAACAAAGAAGTCATAAATTAATCTCAAAGAAGAATAATAAAGAAATCTTAAAGAAATATAAAAATAAACCTTTAAATAAATAAAAATAATTTTAAAGAAATATTAGAAATAAAAAAATTAAAAAAAATAAAAAATCCTTTAAAATATTAAAAATAGAAATTCTAAATAAATCCTAAATAAATTTTAGATCAAACCTTAATAAAAAATCTTATTGAATCTTAATCAAATTCCAAGTCATATCCTAATTAAAATCCTAATTGAAAGCCTAATCAAATCCTAATCAAATCCTAAATCCTAAAGCAATCCTAATAAAATCCTAATAAAATCTTAATCAAATCTTAGATATATCTAAATTGAATCCTACTCAAATTTTAATCAAATTTTAATCAAATTCTATTCAAATCTAGACAAAATTCTAAATCCTAATAAAATCTTAGATAAATCTTAAATCCTAATTAAATCTTAGATTCTAAATCAATTTTAATTAATCTATAATCAAACCATAAATCTTAAATAAAGCTCTTAATAATCCTATAACATATTAAAAACTTAATAACTAAATATTAAATTATTGATTTTAATTCAAACTTTGTACACCTTGAAACAACTAAGTTAACAACAATTACAAAAAATTTAAAGAAGATTGTACATACTTTATAGACAATAATTCCAAACTTCCGCTTGAGGGTTGGCCGGCCTTCTTTTTCAACCTTGATGTTGATATTCTTGAGTCATGATCTCTTAATTATACCATTCAAATTGTTCCAATTTTTTTTCAATTATTGAAAATCAAGATAGTCATCTTTGAAAAAAATTGTATGTCAATCCAACTAGTAGATTGATAAATATCTTAGAAATCCTCACTAATCTTCTAAATTCCAATTTCTAAGACCATAACCTACAAATACCATTGTATCTTATAATTTGATTGTTCGAATTTCCTCAAATTTTTCAAACAAATTTATTATAAGTACAACAATAAATTTTTCAATTTTCACTTATAAATATACTAAAAAACTCACAAAATTCTAAACTTTGTAAACTTATTTTTATTTCTCAAAATCCAAATCCATGAAGAACATTATTAACTTTGAAAATCTCAATATTAATCCAAATGACATGAAATTAATACTTAAAAATCTCTCCTCTAATCTACTCTCAAATTGTCAAGGACAAGAACTCGATAAAAAAAGAAATTTAGACAAGTGAGCCTTCACTCAAAGAAAGGTAACAAAATATAAATAAATAAGTATGTATATTGAAAAAGAAATTGGAATGGCTATTGCCAAAAGACAAGAAAACTTAAGACCCTTGAAACTAGCCTAGAAGCAAGAAAAGAATTGGCAAGAGTGAAGAGGGCTTCATTCTTGTCTCTATATATACTATCTAATTAGGGACTATGTGGCGACGTTCTATAGGACCTCCAATATGTGTTGACTTTGTAGAACACATGCCTTGACTTACAAGGCAAGTTTTTCTACGTGTGGGCCACATAGTTAGCTTGGTCTTCAAGCTAACAACATGTGTGGCACATGGCCAACTTGTTGACCACGTTTCTAATCCAAAAAGTCAATTAAAGATACCTATGAAGTCAAAGCAGTATCTATTAAGCTTCTAGGAAGCTTCCATATTAAATACTATAGAATTAACTTACTTCCACCTATTTGTATATATAATTACTAGCTTACATGAGTATGTCCGTGACATTACCTCCTCTTCTAGGGACGAGTTCCACGAGGAGCGGTCATCATATGTTGAAGAAATCTATGATGCGACGAATTATATTCACCACATACTCTGATCTTTGTTCTCTTTGAAGATGAATGATAGGGCCTCTCAACCATCGGTAGTGTCCCATACCAGGGCGGCAAGATCACCTAGTTATTTGATCATAGTTGAGGCCTTCATAACTTCCTTCGAATAGAACATTTCGAATTCCATCAGGAGTTGTTCCTACCTCTAGCAAAATCATCAAACATCAGGAGTCCCTTCCCAAATCGTTATACCAAATACGTTGTATTTTGCCATTTATTTGAGGAAGAACATATCGTTCTTCAAGATCTTCATCTCGATTGCGTTGTCTTAAAGGTTGTGACAATCGTAATGTCTCATCTGGCAGGTCAGCAAATGAAGGCTCTTGAGTCAAATCCACTGGTTGTTGGTTCTCCATCTCCTGAACGTCACAACTATAAAGAAGCTACGAACAAGGATTGAAAGTAGAATGTTATCTTGCCTAGAGGTTGTTTCTTTTATAAAGAAGGTTTTTATCTTGATTTTGATGGATGTTGTCAATGAAAAGCCTCCATCGCCTTTGCTGCATTTGTAAGATTCTTTATTGGCTCCTATGTGCATTTACTAATATCATATCCTCGCCAATAGACAAGATATTCTAATTTATTTCGGCGCCGCCTTGAATCTAAAACTTCTTCTACTTCAAACTCTTCATTATTGTCCACTTCTATAGGAGGAAGTAGAGCTTGTCGTCTTCTTGATATGTCTACTATCTTGTATGGTTCAAGAAAAGACTCGTGCAATACTGGATGGATTTTCATTGACTCTGGTAGATCTAAACGATATGCAACTAGATTGATTTGTATAGAAATAGAAAATAGTCCAAGTCTTCGATAGTCCAACTTGTCACAAGGACGAGTGGTCTTGATATTGTGACGAAGTAGCCATATCTTATCATCCAAGAGGAATGGTGGTTGTTCCTTTAAATAGATGTCCACATTGAC